TGTTATGCCAAAAAACAAAAATTCGATAAAAATTGCCATACCGCCAGAAAAATGCCGATTTCTTCGATTTCATTATTTTGACGAGTGCTTGATTTCACCACGATGCCTCACATGTATAAATCAGCGCCGCGTATGAGTTATCCGTGCCCCGCCTTAAATAAAATGTATAATATATGCGTGTGTGTGTATATAATATATGTGTGTACAAGTTCACAGCCATGGGATCCAACACAGTTCTCTAGAGATACTTTATCTAAAGGTAATGTACTTGCTCTTTCATGCTTTATTTATACATGGTTTAAACTTCAGAGCCCTTTCACGCTATATTTATGCATGGTTTAAACTTCAGAGCCCTTTCATGCTTTATTTATGCATGGTTTAAACTTCAGAGCCCTTTCATGCTTTATTTATGCATGGTTTAAAAAACTCCAGAGCCCTTTCACGCTTTATTTATGCACGGTTCACACCCCAGATAAGAAAAGATGCGCCCCCTAGGTAGGAGGAAAGAGACAGTGTTTGTACCAGCGCCTGTGTTATAAATTCATATACTACAACATGTAAATAGCATTTTGTCAACAATATCACAAACATCATTTTCATCAGAGTTCTGCGACACTTGCAAAACATATATATATATAAAAAACATATATATATATATAAAAAACATATATATATATAAAGAACATATAAGTGCAGAAGATTAGCGGTGTTATTAGAGAGTAACATAAATTGAAAACATATTCTAATGTGGGTATTTTATTTTACTCCACCATCCACACAATTTAGATCATTTAGGAGGCGGGCTTCCGAACCAGCTTGTCAGACAGGGCCAACCCGGGCCGAGCGGGATACAACATCCAAGCAAAGATTTTTCACGTAGTGTGACCATGAAACAGCGCGGTGAGCCAGTTGCGCAAATGTCACGATTTTTACAAGTCCAAAAAATATTTGAAACCTCATATCTCAGGTGTTTGTTGATGGATTTTGATCATTCTTTTTTTTTTTTACAGTTCTTGTTACACCGAGTATTATTTGTAAATTATAGTCTTGTTACGGTATTCTTAAAAAAAAAAGTTCACTTGTGGTACCTAAAATAAGGACAGAGGTACTTAATAAAAATTTCTCCCCACTCAGAAATCAAACTGGAGTGTCCTGTGTACGACAGCGAAGAACCTAACCACTCCACCACAGACACCAGAGCAGCTTACATCAGACTTTCCACAGAGATATATATATATATATAGACACACAAGGCATTGTTCATCAGACAGAGACCAGGAGAAACTAGAACTGATCCTTTCACAAAAACTTGTACTATTAGAAAAACAATTTGGATCTCAACTTAAGATTTAGCAACAGTAGTACATGTACCGCATTGGCAACACAAATAAGGCATGTAAGTGCTGAAGATTAGACGCGTTACAAGAGAGTAACAAACAAAATAAAAGGAGGAGGAGAGATAAGTTTTAGTTTTAGTAGAGGTTTTAGTTTTAGTTTTAGTAGAGGTTTTAGTTTTAGTTTTAGTAGAGGTTTTACGGCGCTCGCAACTGCATAAGGTCATATGAGCGCCAGAAGATTAGAGGTGTTACAAGAGAATAACAAACATAAAAAAAGAAGAAGGGGAGATAAGGACGATAGATGTTTGATAGAAAAGAAGAAGCAAACCACACCAGAGCACCTCCCAACCACCCACAGGAGAGATAAGATGTCACTGAAGAGTAACATACAAAGAAAAAAGGAGAAAAGATAAGGACGATGGACATTTAACAAGAAAGAAGGAGCAAACCACACCGGAGCACCCACCAACCACTCACTTTTTGACATCAGAACCCTTCCCCCACAGCTCCCAGCACAACAGTTGTAAATAGGAGGTCATGGCACCGGACAACATCACACTCGGCGCTAAACCAGTCTAAACGAAATTACAACACTTGTGTATTTAGTGTAGAGTGCTTCAATCACAACAATGTAAATAGCATACAAAAGAACGAATATGTTCACAAAACAAAACGATATAAGAAAGGTAAAACATTTTCTGTTACTGTCTCACACACACACATAGCCTGCACACACACACACACACACACATACACACACACACACACATCTGAGTTGAGGTAACTTGACAGGAGAGGCAACATTGCCCCATTTCCGGATCCCACGATCAGACTCCCCCATTATCAGACATTCCGATCCCATTATCAGACATTCCGTGTGGGTCCCATTATCACACATTCCGTCCGGGTCCCATTATCACACATTCCGGGTCCCATTATCAAAATTATTATTCTCACAATCACATGTTCTCACATTCAAACATTTTCGAATCTTAAAAGTGAGCGCAAACACGCAGACTAGAAACGAACAAGTAAGAGAAAATCATATTCTGTACAGTGACTGGCCATCCTGGCCCAGCAGTTGAGCCCAACCAGAACAAACTAAATTTATACCGTCTAGCACGAACATAGTGCAGCCAACACATGCAAAGCAGAACATACACATAGCGAACACACACAGAGAAACATGCACATTGCGAACACACACAAGGAGAAACACGCACATAGCGAACACACACGACGGAAAGCATTCACATAGTGAACACACAAAGAGAAATATGCACATTGCGAACACACAAAAAATGGAACACGCACATTGCGAACACACACAGAATGAAACATGCCCATAGCGAACACACACAAAATGAAACTCACATATTGCGAACACACACAGAATGAAACATGCCCAAAGCGAACACACACAGAATGAAGGACGCACAAAGCAAACACACTCAAGGAGAAACTCACACATTGCGAACACACACAGAATGAAACATGCACATTGCGAACACACACAAAATGAAACACGCACATAGCGAACACACACAAGGAGAAACACGCACATAGCGAACACACACAAAATGAAACACGCACATAGCGAACACACACAAGGAGAAACACGCACATAGCGAACACACACAAAATGAAACACGTACATAGCCAACATGTACAAATAGAAACAAGTACGTAGCAAACACAAACAAAGCGAAACATGCACATAAGGAACACACGTACATAGCAAACAGGTTTTCAGGTCCCACAGTTTTTCTTTTACATGTGTACATTCTTCATATTCAAAGCACGTACATAGCAACACTCCCACATAACGAAAAGATTTTCCCTATCTCGCCGATTTAACTATGCACATGCAAGACTGTCATTCTTTTGGCAGATGAAAAAAAAAACCCAAACAAAAACAAAGGAAAAACTGTAAGCCAGTCAACTCTCTCACTTCTGTTACATAACATGAGAGAGTGAACACATAAATGTGACGGTGCTGTTTTTCCTCTGCGGTCTTTATGTCACGTATCTTTCTCAATCTCAATCAAGATGAGGTAATCAAGTATAAAAATAGAAAAAAAAACTAGGCCTACTATTTTTTTCCATGGTCCATTAACTTTGCGGATAATTTCATTTATAATAAACAATTGAGACAAAGTAATTTATATAAATATGAGATGATCAGCTTAATTAAAAAGTACAACCTGCTGGTCCACTAATTTTGTCTCTCACAAACAATTCATACAAAGTCATTCAGATGACGGAATCCACCTAGAAAAATACAAAGGTTAAAAAAAAACCCCGAACCAAATAACCCCCCCCCCCCCCCCCCGTCTTTTCCAGAAAACACACAGTGGAAACGAAGTCGTCTACTCAAAACGTGAACTGTTATACGCATTGACATGTCTGCCGCGCCAAGGCAGACCGACATAGCTGTAAAAATCATTAATTTTTGCATCTTTGTTTAAATGGATGCTTATACCCATTTTGCATCTTGTGTCTGAGGCAGGAAGACGTATCTGCTCTACAAATAGGATATTTCACTAAGGAAAAAAACAGACGTAACCAAAGGGCCGTGTCAATATTTCCAATGGCAGCGCGACTTAACTCAAAATCATAAAAAGAGCAGATACGTCGCTCTGCCTTTGCACGGCAGATGTGCTCTAACGTGTCCAACAGCAGCACAGTTACGTAGATCAACTTGTCTTTTGCTGTATAATTTTTCACCAACGTTCTGAGAATCCTCGACAAAAAATATTTCCTTGAGACAAGAACAGAAATCCGCTGGAACTTATTAATTATGAATGAAATCTTTTTGAAACAAAACAGTCAAAAAAAGTTGTTGTTTTTTTCTAGAGAAAGACACAAGGTTAGAGCAGAACGCCATCAATATATTCAGTAATGGGATTATCCCATCCGAGGAACATAACTGTATTTTATAAAAATCATAATACAGACTTCAACATAAGTTAAGGACCACTTGCACATTTGGCTAAAATTCCCCAAGGATTCGCGTGCTGTACGTGGTGGTTTTTCCACTTTAGGAAGCTTTGCAGTACGCATTGGTAACCCATTGACACTTTCAGAGCAATACATTTTGAAACACTCCCTGCTGTCTTTTTTTCATATTTTTTTAGAATCAGGGCAGTCTGTAAAGGTGGTCCTTAACTCATGTTGAAGTCTGTACATATCCCAACAGGACGGCAGCTATCACTCCCCATCTCGTAATGGTCGTAAAGCACATAGGGCATGCTGCAGTGCAAGGATATGTGCTAGATAAAGGCAACTATTCTCCTTATCATTATTATTATACTTGTTATTATTATTATTATTTTCATCATTATTATCATTATTATCATCTACTCCTTACCAATATTTTCATCATTATTATCATTATTATCATCTACTCCTTACCAATATTTTCATCATTATTATCATTATTATCATCTACTCCTTACCAATATTTTCATCATTTTTATCATCTACTCCTTAACAATATTTTCATCATTATTATCATTATTATCATCTACTCCTTACCAATATTTTCATCATTATTATCATTATTATCATCTACTCCTTACCAATATTTTCATCATTATTATCATTATTATCATCTACTCCTTACCAATATTTTCATCATTATTATCATCTACTCCTTAACAACATTTTCATAATTATTATCATCTACTCCTTACCAATATTTTCATCATTATTATCATTATTATCATCTACTCCTTAACAATATTTTCATAATTATTATCATTATTATCATCTACTCCTCAACAATCCTTCATGAGCCGTTTCCACCGGTCAGCGAGCGACTACTGGACTTGTCCGACTGCCCGTTGAGCTGGGAATGCTGGGAGGAGGTCATTGCGTCCGAGTCGGCCGAGTCGATGGAGGTGAGGCTGGAGGTGGACATGAGCGGCCTCTGCTGCCGCCGGATGTTCCAGTTGAGGCAGACGGCCAGACCGTCAAACCAGTCCTCGATCTGGTCCACGGCGCAGATGGAAGGCACGGGGTAGGCTGCTGTCGTGATGCGGAGGCTGGGGGAGAGACGAGGGACGGACTAAATATAGTAACATTGCGACATACGAGATAAACACACGGGGATGAACTAAATATAGTAACACACGACGCACGAGATAAACACACGGGGATGAATTAAATATAGTAACACACGACACACACAGAAGGCACGGTGTGGGCTGCCGCTGTGATGCAGAGGTTCGGAGGGAGACGGGGGATAGGTTATATATAGTAACACACGACACAGAGATAAACACACAGGGATGAACTAAATAACGTAACACATGACACAGAAGTGAAAAAGTGTATATGACAAGCTCACCTGTCTCCCTGGTGCATCTCCTGTCTGTCGCGGCCGTCAAATGACACCATGGCTGTGCCGCGTGCCTCAGGACTGAGCATCACCTG